GAAAGAGTTGTCATCATCTAAGACTGTCTCCTGAATGTCACCCGTTCGTGCATTATAATCACCCTGAACAATTATGTCACCCTTTTGTGAAAATAAAAACATTTCTTCTTCTAATTCCCCAATTAAATCTTCGCTGCTATGTCTTTCATAATTTGATGTGCTTAATAAACTATTCCTACGTATATATCCTTTTGAAAGTTGAAGTACGTTTTATCAAGTTTACACCATATTATGTTTTTGTTTTCAGACGGGATGTAGGTGACTCCTTTAGCGAGTTTTTTGTTTATATATACAGATAGTCCCCGAGAAGATCGGTTTCCCGATTGATTCCTACACTTAGTAAAATATTTGAATTCACTTATATTCATCTCCGTTTCATAAGTTGCATGTGTTTCAACAAGTGCAAAAATGTCATGTTTGTTAATTATGCTTAAGAAATCGTCTGTTTTTAGTTTATTTCCTAGAATGTTACTGTTAAAACCATTCTAATTCCAGAACCCTATTCGCAAATGACGTGACACACGGAATGGGAAAAGAAAATGGAAATGGATTACTTATCTCATTAACATTTCGCTCTCTCTTAGATACTTTGCAATTAGGTTGAGAGCTTGTAATGGTTGATTATTGTGATAGATACTTCTTCGGCGTTCGTTATAGGGCTGTTCTCTCTGAGGACCGACTGGGACGCGGGCAAAACCACGTCGATTCCCTGGCAAGCTTTCGAGGTTTCTGTCCCGAAGTCCTAGGTGGTGTTTCCTGTTTGTTACAAGTTTCTTTGTACCGATTTTGTTGTTCAGGTGAACGTCATCGTAGAATACTTGCTCAATTAAGTTTCCGTAGTTGTCGCACGTTACTCTTTTGTTGTCGATGAAAGTCACACCTAGATCTGTACATATGCTTTCGTAGTGACGGTTGATTTCATCAATACGCTGATTTTTACTGTTATCCCGTGGGACGTAAGTCAGTCCTGAAATTGCTATCGTACTATTCGGCCATCTATGCTTTAGGTTGACGAGACAGTTTTCCATGTTTGTTCTGATTTCATTTGCGGTCAGTTTCCCGACATCTTTTGTACCGGAATGGATTACAATGTATACTACAGGGAAGGGGGGGAGAGAATTCTTTTTCGGGGGGTCTTAAAATTTTTTGAAGGGAATAGGGGGATGGTAAAATTTCTGAAGGCAGGAAGGGGGGGATGCCAGTTTTTTTAGATCTCATTGAAAGATTAAGTATTTGCAACATTATCGATAAACCACTACGCAAGTGAAGTTCTTCATTTTCTAGTTCAATGAAGGTTGTTTTCATTATTAATGCACTTAACTGCCATGTCTTTTACTTTGTGCAGTAACCAGCGCTATCTACATAATCATTACCACCTTTACTTTTATCCCGCTTTTATTAATAATGTCACATATTGTCTTCATTCTCATTATCATCATCATCATCATCATCATCATCATCATCATCATCATCATCATCATTGTCATCATAATCATTATCATCATCGTAAACATTATCATCATCAAAATTAACCCACCGTTCTCATTTTCAAAGCTTCTAAAGTTATAATTAAGTCTTCAGCTTCTTTGCTCACAAGATTTAAATCAACTTTCACAGCTGAGAGAGAATGTAAATGGTCAGTAATATTTTGTATGATGGCTCTGCAGTCATGCTGAAATCAGAATGATATACTTGAGTACAGGTCTATCGCAGTTCTATAATCAAAAGTGATCATATACAAATTCCCATCAAGTTGGCGGCAAATCTTTAGAAAACTTCTTTGATTTACATCAAGGACGGGATTTCTTAGGATAGAAATTTCTTACTATTGCGGTGTCATTTATGGATATCGAACGAGGAATACAATGTCTTTTGAAAGCTTCCCTTCTAATAAGCCACAATCGGCCTAGCTGGTTGAGAAAATTTTATTAGTGTTTGAGTTAAAAGACCACATAGTTTTCAGTACGAAACCTGAAGCTTTCTGTGGAGTAGGCAAAGTGGCACTAATCTCAATATATTTTTCTATTTTAAACATTAATCTCCGCAGCATTTCATCATATTGCCCATATTTTACTTTCCTCGTCGAAACTGAGTAGGGGGGTGTCATTTTTTTATTCTCGTCAAGAGAGCGGAATGTCAAAAAATGTATATGTGGGGGGATGTTAAAAAATTTGCCTCTTTAAAAAATATCCTTTTCCCCCTCCCTTCCCCCCACCCCTTCGCCCCTTCCCTTTGCAGTATACATTATGAATGCAGCCTAAGCACCAGCTTAATCGCAGGGGGTCGTAGCCGGCATGAGGCAAGACGAGGAAAGCGCTTCGTCTGGATTTAAACAAGATTGAATTTTCTAAAAATGCCAAAAATACAATGTGGTGTTTTAAAGCCTAGTCTATATTTTGCAATTTTCAGCGTTAAAAGTTTGGCTACGTTCCTGGATCGTGGCATAAATCTTTGAATTTTCTATACTTCTAAGTAAACTCTTATTCTTTAAAGAAACAATCACTGTGCAGTAATCTTTCTAACTGCTGCAATAACGATAAACGATTGCGCCTGGAGACTAGCTTACTGAACATCAGTATGAAACCTGATGTCACCTCTAATTTGTTAAACCGATTTTTTTAATACTTGTAGATTTGATTCCAGCCTTTGTGCTAGCTAGAGGAGAAAAGGCACTTGCTGCTTATCACAGGGCAATTAAGACTGGTGGTAGCACATATGATAAACGTGTCAAGGTTTTGCTCGTAGGACAGGACCGTGTGGGGAAAACAAGCCTCGGTAAAGCTCTAAGAGGTGAACCTTTTGATGAAGCCGAACTCAGTACTGATGGAGTGCAAATGATCCCTGCTGTCAAGAATGCTGGAACAGGCGCGTGGAGAAATCCAGCATCTCTTGAACACACGACAGTATTTGATCATAAGATTGCTGCAGAGACCGCTAAGAATTTATTAGGCCCACACTCGGAGCAGCCAGCAACGAAACAACCGACAGAAACCTCGAATAAAAGTGAACCTAAGAAACCAATAGGAGGGCCTTCAAACCAAGCAGTTCAGTTATCTATTGAAAATGGTTAGTACAGTAAACATTCGGTCATTCTTTAATAACTATTGCTGATAGACTGGAAACTGTAGTTTCGGTAAAATCTTGAAAACTTTTCGGTTATTTACGTAGACGAAACAAAACAGTCTGCTGGGTTAAAAGTTGTTATTTAATGTGTTCATGTTCGTAAAATTATCGGAATTTTGATAAACTGGCCCCTCACACAGCAAGCTTAAACGGCACCCAAGATACCGACTATCCCGGATTTTACCTCTGTTTGTTGTGATGTCGGGTTGTAACTGTAGCAACCTGTTGGCACCAAATTTTGTCAACATATAGGTAATGAGTAATTCGCCCCAACACTTGAAGAGAAGAGCTTCTGACAGTAAATACCTAAGATCAGGCCCAATGTTATCACTTTCCAAGCGAAACGAAAATAGAGCCTGATGTTGCGTTCTCTGCGTTGGCATTAAATGGTATTAAAAATTCGAAGAAAACCTGGGTGTGTGTTGTTGGCATCCAACTCGCCATCCTGCACTCTGAACCCGTTTAAACCCAAGAACTCGCTCAAAGGCAAAGCGCTTTGAGGTAACTGTGAACTAATTTAGCTTGTCCGTTCAGAACACCTAATCTCCTGATAACTTTAATTAGAATTCTATCCTACTAAGGGTGTAGAGACTACAAGGTGGTGGGCTTGTAACTGGTGCATTGACTTTTGGAGCCTGAAGATGGACTAGACTCTTATATTCCCTTTTTTTGTTTCTATTTCCGCACAGGAGACCTTATTCCATCAACAACTAATGAAGAAAGCCCTTCAGTCGACCAAGAAGAAGAAGCTTCAAGACAGACTCGTAAGTTGAAACTGTCGCCAACTTTTCTAGGTTAACACCTTCATTTTCCTTCGTGACTTGTGCAATACGGACTACAGCTGGAGAATAAGAAATGTGGAAAACATAACGATCCGACCTGGGAAATGTAACAAAATTCGACTCGTAAAAAAAATACACTAAACATGATTGGCGGTACAACATGCTATTAAAAGGATGCCGATTCACTGTTTCATTTGATTATGCGGCGGAAGGACTGTTTTCGTCTTCATGCCGCATTTCAGTAGGGACATCCGAGATCTCGCCCTACCGACAGAGTTGTTAAGGGTTGCGCGCGGTTATCCAGTGAGTCAATGTTTTTTTTGTTGTTGTTTTGTTATTAAAGCATTTCGTACGTTTACATACAACATAGAAATTAAGAAGAACAAAAAGGAGAGGAGACACACACACACACACACACGCTTATATAGTACAAATAGAAGAATGTAAAGCTAAACACACACAAAGCTATTACAGCAATAGTAACTTAGTATGTAGATTACAATGACTTCACCTCAAACTAATGATGAAAATTAATCATGACATCACTTATTCGGAAAAACGCTTATTTACTTTTCCCACTTTTTAAAATGATTATTTAATTTGTCTTCTTTTCCTAGCAATATGGAGTTCGATATTTTAAAATAATACGTCTTGTCCTGGCTATAAAACCTTGAAGAGAAGGTATACCATTCTGGCATTTCCGAGAGAAATATAAAACTTACCCAGAAGCAAGATATGGTTAAACAGGAGAAAATCTTCTACAATATCGGACTTACCAAAAATCGCATCTTCCTCTTTATGGTTATCAACAGAAATGTTATAATCGCGCAACCAGGACAAGACATCTTTCCAAAAACTAGATGATACTTTATTCAGTCAATGGTGCCTAAATAGCCTTACTTATCAGCATTACACCGTTAAAATGAGAGCTGTGACCTCCACTTTTTGTTACGTTTTTATCATCTTCTTGACTTTTTACAACAATTTACCAAAAACTTTATCGAAAATCCGTGTCATGTTCTTTCTCGGCCAGTGAATCACGTTAGGATTTCTGCCTTCTTTCTTACAGATCATTTTCCGCGGGGAGAGGAAGTAATGCCAGATCACGTTGCTTTACTTTTAGAGGAAAATCTAGCGAGAAACGAACTTGACCCTGAAGAAAAAATTTGGCCAGTCATTTGGGACTTTGCAGGACAGGACATTTATCGTGCCATTCACCCAATCTTTATGTCGTCAGAGGACCTTTATCTTCTCGCTTTTGATCTTACAAAGAAACTTAGTGAAAAAGCAGTGTGTCGAGTGAATGTGGGTCACAGAGAGCATGCTGTAACAGCCCGCGATGATGAAGACACAAATTTGGATCACTTATTAAGGTGGATGGACTTGATTCACTCTTTAAAGAAGGGTAATCAGGAAGAAAAAGAGAAGGTTTCGTATCCCCCAGTCATACTTGTCGGTACTCATGCTGACTGTGTAGACGATCCGAGTAAAGCAATGGAATTAGTCAAACAGAAGTGTTTACGTGTGTTTTGTAAACACAGTTATTTACCACACATCAGAGATCGTTTATCGATCGACAACAAAAACGCTGGCTTCAACCAGAAGGATATCGAGAAGTTTCGAGAGGCGATTCTTAAGGTAGCTGATGAAATGCCTCACACGACGAAGCCGATCCCTTTACAATGGCATCGTGTTGAGAAGGAAATTAGTCAACCGAAATGGCAAAGACGCAAGTTCCTTTTTAAGGAATCTTTTCGTGAAGATATTGTTTCTCGCTATTGCGCTTTTGAAAATGAGGATGATGACTTTGAAGAACTTCTGCATTTTTTGCATAGCCGTGGGACAATAGTGTACCATGAACATGAGTATGATGGTCTGGTTATTTTGGATCCCCAGTGGTTAATCAAAATATTCTGCAAGATTATCAACGTAAATCCGCAGGAGAAAGAATCAATGGACGTAGAAGCAGATCGTACAGAATTGGAAGAAAAAGGAATTCTTTCCGAAAAGTTGATTGATCATACCTGCCGCAATGAAAGTCTGAGTCCCATTAAGGACCATTTGATTTCTTTAATGGATAAATTCAACCTCATCTGCCGTCAAAAAACAGGAGAATCGCAGTTCTTAGTCCCTTGTATGCTTCGGACTACTACTAATGAAGAAGAGGAAAATGAAACTGGATCAACTGTACCTATCTACCTCAGGTTTCAAACTGAGTATGTTCCAAATGGACTATTCTCCCGACTTATTGTGCTGTTTGTGAAAAATCCGCAGTACACAAATATGTACGAGCTGACATCAAATAAAGCTGAATTTATCCTTGACGCGAATAGCAGCCATCCGTTTCAAATGGTGCGCTACAAGAGTGTTATTAAGCTGGGGTTCGGAAAAGCTGAAGGCAATCCGCCCAAAGAGGATTATGTTAATGTTTTAAGGTAAAAACTTGAATTCAAGTTCCTCTTGCTTTCGACAAATTTGCAAAACCTGTATACAGTTGAACCTCTCCACAACGGCCACCTTGGGGACAGAAGAAAGTGGCCGTTGTAGAAAGGTTTAAACAAGAGTCGGTGTATGGACTGTCCGCCAAAAAAAGTGGCCGTTGTAGAGACGTGGCCGTTAGTACAGGTTCGACTGTACATTTTTTCTTGCTGTCAATTCTGTGTTAGATACATATCCCTCTTTTGGCTAGCCTGCATAACAGGCGTTTTATGAGCCAAGCGAGGCGAACGCGGCATTTTGGGTTTCACGCTTGGCGCAAAATGTCACGTTCTGTTCGTTTGGCTCATAAAGCGCAGGTAAAACGGCTACAGGAACCGCGGGAAGAGGGGGGTGTGGCCCACCCACCCCTTTTTCAGGGTGGTTAGAAAGTATTCAGTTTATACTGTTAACTTTGACCCAGTTTAGTTTACCTGGCTAATTACTAACAACAATAGCTTAAACGAAGGTAATCCGCTCCTGCTGAAACAGTAAGAGATGCTAATCAATCTTAAAACTTTACAATGTATTTATTTGCCCAAGGTGGTTGTTTTTGACTTTTCGGATAAACCCGCAGTTCGAAACAGTTTGCATAGTTTGGCTGAATGTCAGTTTCTGAACGGTTTATCGTTTGTGAAAGATAAAGTGAAATGATCGGTGCTGCTGAATATAGAAATCAAATTTCTTATTGGAATATTAACGTTGAAAGCAGGTCAACTACCCCTGATTATAATAGGTTATAAGTACCTGTAGATTTTCCTATTGTGTGGCCTAAGTTCTTCTCCTGCCCTTTTTGCCAATACGTTTCTTTAAATGAATTTATAGGTGGTTAGATATGTTGTTTGAAAAGCTTCAGAGGGAGTGTCATTGGCTGGAATCAATGGCTGTGGAGTTGTGTGCTCGATGCACAGTCTGCATAGGACGAGAGACAAAGCCCTGCGCGAGGCACGAGGAAAGTTGTTGTAGGCACCATGACTGTGGTCACTACATACCTTTGGTCGGAAAAGTAGCTCTTTGTTGTAAGCCTGGTCAAATGCTGGAAAAGAAATCACTGAAGCCATGGATTGAGGCCATTGAAGACGTTTCTAAGGTGTGTGATGTGCAAGTAATAAAAACTTAAGGTTTTCCTTTTCGTTTGCAAAAGTGACGTCTTAATTAAATTTAACTAGGAATACGTGTACATATGTCTACGGCATCGCTAAAGTTTCTTTAAAAGTGCTTGTGGCTACATATGGCGATGCAATAAGTATTATGAGACTGAGCAGATTGATGTCAATGGCTCGTAACATTTTACTACTTCTAACAACTACTACTAGTCTTCCTACTTTGGCGTGTTTTACATGATAAGAAAAAAAAGATGTGTATGTTACAGGTTAAATTTGATTTTTACCGAGGTTGATTCGTATTTTCCTTGGTCCCCTAGCCCTAAGGGACAACAGAAATTGAGAATTAATCTAGGTTAACAAGTTTTAACCTGATATCAAATTTAACCTGTAACATATATAATAAAACAGTAAACTAAGATAAAATGGCGTTAAACAAACAAAGTACTGAAGTAAATTGAGGGCATGAATTATGTCAGAACTCTTTCAACTATGCTGGTCCAATATATATACAAACTACATTTGGTACATACATCAACGCATAGGTTATTAAATTAGAATATAACCATTTCTTCATTTCTTAATTCTTTGCAGAGATTGAGTCCCTCCAGCTTACTTTTCAAAACTCATGAATCCGGTAAGTCGTTCAAATACATACAACAATACGCAGGTTCAAGTGAAATTTTTTGGTATCTTATGACTGGATCGGCTGCTCAGGTGCACTAACTGTGAAGTTTACTCACTGACCAGGTCTCATGCATTGAGCAATGTTATAATATACAAGTAATTTTTCTTAGGGGGACAAACTGTGTATCCGGCTTCTTTGGGAGGCCCCTGCGTGTGCGATTCTGTACCTTCCAGTGGCATTGCAATTCTAGTAATTTAGACACCACTCCAGACATGTATAAATTTATTGATAAAATGTGAAATGGCAATGGCTGACAAGGGCTCACTTGTTGAGCTGCCTCTTTTTGTAACTTATTGGGTGTAAGAGCATGTTTACAATTTGGGCAATCACCTTGTAATCACAGTCAACGTACATCTACCTCATTTTCGTTAGCATGCACTGAGTATAGACTAGTCCCTTATTTTCCTGCATGTGATTTAAGAACACTAAGTTTAACATACATAACGCAACGAAGTTCACTACACTCAGTACCTTTCACGCAGAAATCTGTAATTATCTTTGGTACCTGTTCATCGAACTTGCTGTGTGTCGGCTCTTTAAGTTTAACTTCAGGGCATGGCAGAAATACTGCATCCTTTCCTTACTAAGCCGAGGCAGATTCTCCGAGGGAATATTGATCAATATTTCTTCGAAAAAGAATGCTTTCGTTCGAGCTTTTTAATACTCTTACTATCCGCAATTTTGAAACTCAAGCGTCCGGGAAAATACGGTAGTGCCAGGTCCTGCGTGGTATGGAATTAGGCTCCCTATAAATAGTTGCGACATTTTCACGAGCTGTAGTTCCTAAGTGTATTTCGAAGTAAACCGAAAACCGCTACCGAGTGATAAATTCAGGGGTCATATTTCCATATTCCTAGGCGTAAAAATAAAAGACAAGTTTCTTGCTTAAAAATATTTTCACAGTAACGAAACATGAAATGCTTGAAAGGAAGGAGAAACAATTGCCAAAACAAACAGTTCGGTTATTTTTGTTCTATTCATTTCATTGTTTTACGCGTTGTTTAAGTTCTCAGCACATTTACCATCAATGCCTAAAATCTATTTCATTTCTCTACTTTTCACTGGATCATTTGCGGCGTGGGGATCACCTCACTCGTCTCCAGTCGTCTCTTTTGTCTCCTGATTAGATATTAACGAGCGATGCGCGTGGAGAATGCGCGCAGATGGAAGATGCCCTCTATCCTCCCCATCGTCCCCTTCGCCGAGATGCCGTAATAGTCTCCCGCGACCATTCCATGACCGCCTACAAATCATATGAGACGACTGGGGACGAGTCAGAGACAGTGCAGTGGACTGGTGTGGCGGAATCGTCATGTCCTTAATTTGGTAGACGTAGACAATTTTTTTAATTTTTAAAATTTTTAAAAAATTTTTTTTAATTTTAACATTTTTAAAGCTAAACTAGTGAGCAGCCCTCTGCGAACTGTTGCTGTAAAACTTGTTTATTCTCCTACGCGTTTCGTCTAACTAACGTAGACTTCTTCATGGAGTTTTACAATCAAATACTAAACGCCTGTATTTAAGCCATAATATGACTAAAAATAATGATGGTCGCAAGCATTGAAGGTTTGGCCGGATTTACGAAAAGGAACAGGCGCAGCTGTGAAATTTTTTACGCGAGGCTTAAGAATATGGCCCCAAAGGATAGGTGTTAGTCGAACATCCCTAATTTTGTTCCGTTAAACCTGCGATTATAAACAATGGAAACAGGTTTCAGTGAAGACCCATGAGATGGGTGCGGCTACAACACAGGCCTATGGAGTGAAATTTTGGATCAGTTTTCCGGAAAAACTACGACGTTACCTACCTATATATTTCCTTATTTTGTCCAAAAACAAGAAGAAAAGCATAAGAACGTAACAAATAAAGTTTGTTTTCACGATATATGTCTGCTTCCAATCAACCATATCAGCATCACCAATGTCCAAAAAATAATAATAATATGACACATTGTTGCTGGGAGAGTGTGGCACTCAGTCGTCGGCGACGCTTACTACCCATTGTTTGAGTGGCCCGGGATGTTTGTGACTTTATAATGGTGTCATATCAAGTCCTTAATAGCCCTCGTTTGATATATTACTTTTCTAACATGACTACGAGGCTTTCTGGTAATATTTCTGTATTTGGTTTGGTTTTAATTGTGCTCAAGTCACTTCTGGAAACCGCGAGACAATGCAGTCTTGAAAAATTTACAATTTTGTCCCTAAAGGCTCGGAGTCATTTACTATTTTGATACATCGAACGTGGGCTATTCTTAGAAACTGATTTACTTGGCATAAAATTAAATACTTAATTGCTTTTTGAATTCATAGTAGAAACTCCAAAAGAAAAAGGAAAGAGAAAAAAGCAGAAATCACCGGAGTCGGATGAAGGTACGCACCTTGTCTCAGAACCTTTTTGTTTCGTAAAACCCATCAGCTACTATCAAGATAGAATAAAAAGACAGGATGAGACGGTTGTTAAGCAATCGTCCCCAGGGTCTTCTCTCGTTTTTCCAATTTATTGGCGGCAAAACAAGAGGGTCTTCTTTTCTCTCCTGCCGCCATATTGCGACACGAAAAGACCCCGCTCAGTGGAGACGAGGCCAGGCAGTAAGATAGGATAGGATAGGATAGGATAAGTGCTTTATTATCAACAGAGCGCCTACAGACACATGTGTTTACAATGATAAAGATTTTCGTGCAATAATTACAGAGGTGTACATTTGTAAAATTTATACAACTATTAAACAAGGTTATATTTAACGCGTCTATCTCTTTCACGGAAGCGATCATATACGTATTTAGCCACAATTTTTTGCGTTTTCTCTCCTTGCTTCATACTTATCAACGTTGTAAAGGCAGAGCTTGGAGTCATAGAGTCAAGAATAAGATTAGTTTCCTTTTTTAGCGTATTGAACAGCTCTCCCCTAGGATCCCTATAGGCTATGCAATTCATCAAAAAATGCTCCTCGTCTTCTAATCCAGTTTTACATAATGGACAGATTCTTTGGTCTGGTGGTTGATAGGGTTTAACGTATCGTCCAGCTTCAATTGCTAGTTTGTGGTTGCTTAATCTTAGCTTTGTGATTGCTACTCTATGATTGATGTTTCTTACATTTGTGAGGTAATTTTCGTAGTCATGGGTAAGTTTAAATTTCCTAAAAGTTCTTAGTTTGTTTTTTTGATGCGGGTCCTTTCGTTCATCATTGTGTATTTCGCTAATCCATGTTTGCTGTTCTATGTCTAAGAGTCTCTGTCGTATATAGTTCATGATTGCGGGAGTGTTAGTTTTCGCTGACCATATGTCTCCAAGACCTGCGAGAGCAGCGCTAAGCTACCATCCATTTTTTTAGGTAGAAATCTGTGCTTAAAAATGCTTTTTGTCAACTAATAACCACGAGATTGAACCTTTTTTAGCTTTTCTCCTTTTTATTGTAGAACATTCAGGAGATAAACAGAAGACGACAACAAAAGATTTGACTAAAGGTACGGTACATGTCACATGTACTCGATCAGGCTTTTGCAAAATCCAGTCATTAGATTTTCTTTACATAGGTTACAATAAGAAATCCTCATTTTTCAAACCACAACTTAACCGAATTGTAACAAACAGTTTTTGACTGAAATTTCTAACAAAAAAGCTATCATGTGAAATTTGATTGTGTCACCAAAATCCTCTGCTTAACTTAAAATTTTCAAGCTTTCAATGCTTGAAGTGCGATATTGACAAGAATTTTGCCAAATGTTTGTATTATAATTTTGAGATATCTTCGTTTCTTTACATTGTCTATGAAAGTCAACAAAATAAGCGCTCTCACATTTTTTCCTAAGTACGCATCCTCAACACTTGTGCGCGCGCTGGGGTAACCTGATATTACAAAAGTGACCGACGGAAACAGAATAAATTTCTACAGATAGAAAGATAGAAAACTTTATTAATGTGTCAGAGCCGTATCGGTTGGGAAAAACCCCGTACTAATAATGTATTACAATCTAATGAGAATCTAAAATGACTGAGAGAGAATTATAAAATTAAATGATTATGATGAGCAGAGAGAGCAGCTCTTATATCCATCATCTGTCATTGAGCTTATATCATTCTCACAAATTCTGCTTTTACAGTCAACTTCTGGCCATTTTTCTCAGCTGGTCCTCACATTTTTTTTTCCAGAAAATTCCATTGGCTGCATATCTTCTCATAATAAAGATGTTAAGAGAAGAGGGATAAACCATTTCAAGGGGCGAAACCTTTTTATTTAGCTTTTTATTTTTCTTTAGATCACGTCAGACTCCGTCTGTGAAATTTCTTAGAGCGCGCAATTCTGTCAGAGAAACTGTGTTCAGCTACCTTAAGCTGGAAACAGAGGAAACAGAAAATACGGAGCTAAATTATTATTGTCTTTTTTATTATAATGTTTTGCTCCATAGTCACTGAATCACTGAAAACTGCGAGTAATCCACCAGCGGTAACTGTTACTCTTCTACGGAATGAGAATCTTCCGGAAAATTCAGTACCTCTGGATAAGAGTCAATTGCCAATCGACATTTTGCTTTTGACGGTGAAGGATTGGGAATTTCTAGCTTGTATTTCGTGTTTCAATCGCGACTTCAGTAGAAGTTACTGCGAAGAGCTTGGTCAAGACGTGTACCTAGGCAAAATTGGGAACGATCACATGATGCTAAAGATCGCTTTGGTGAAGTGTTACCCAGGATCCACCGTTCCACAAGGATCTTGTGTTGCCGTAACGAATGCTGTCAAAGTCTTGAAGCCCAAAGCGGTATTCAGTGTGGGTTGCTGTGGTGGCTTAGACCCCGCAAAAGTCAAACTTGGGGACGTGGTAGTGTCAGTGAAACTGATAACATATTCCTCCTCCAAAGTCACGGACAAAGGCATTACAGAAAGTGGTGTAAGAGTTCCATTGAAAGCCAATATTTCAAAACTGATGCTAAATGCTGCTGATGGTTGGAAAGCCCCACTGAAGAGTCCAAAAGAATTTGAGGTCGAGATGCACCGAGGAGTGTTTCTGAGTGGCCCAGAAAGTGTTGATAGCAGTGCGCGGCGTGAGGCACTCAACGAACGCTTCTCAGAAGCCGATGTTATTGAAATGGAGGGCGAAGGTAAGTTAAACAAATTCCAGCTACCTCAGTGATATGTTATCCTCTAAAAGTAATAATGCTTGAAGTCTCAATTGGCAGGGTGTGAAAATGGTTGTCTTAGCCAAATTCATTAGACTGAGGTTTTAAGTTTGCATGTATATTAGGGGGTGTATCTGTATAAGTGCATAAAATAGTTGAAATCAAATTAGAATGACAGTGACTGTAAATCTCGGTAGTCTACTTCTGACTGCCTGTCACACGCGTTAACAGTTTCTCGTTCGTGTTGTTTGGATTGAGCACAATCTGTTCTTAGAATTAAATGCATACATGCATTTCTGGGCAGAGAAAGTTGAGCAGGCATCCTTAATCAATCGAGTTTGTAAAGGTTTCAAAAGGTGGGTAGTGCCATCCTTTGAATAAATCTGTATCCAGTGGATAACGCAATTTGTTTCCCTAATACTTATCCGCTGGATAGTGATTTATTCGTTGGATAGCGCTATTCAGCTTTTGAACAATTGGGTCCTGGACTATTCATCTGCGGAGGGGGCAAGGGGGGAACCAGGCGCAAGAGCATACAACATAAGATGACTCGTCAGCTACTACTTGGTACTTAGTTAACAAACTGATTGTGATTCAGATCTTCAGAATGTATACAGTCCCACTTTAAACAAATATGGTCGGTTGATGACACAGCAGGAGGTGGACGAATTGTACCGTTATTGATCTAGTACAAACCCTTAGGTACTATATGATCAGTGGTTTAAAAGACCGGCTGACTGTTAAGTGCCAGGATTTGAAAGATTAAGCACAAAGTGTGATAGGGTGTATTAATAGAAGTTAACAGTAAGACTGGAGGTAAACGCTAACTTGGTGCTCTCATAGGATCTAAAGGCTACAAGGCCAGTATTGTAATGCAAAAAGCCATGCATAGAATGGAGTAACCTTAACAATCGCAAAGGGTCAACCACGTGCAGTCCATGTTATCTTTACGAAGGGATGCAAATCCAAATTTACATACTTCATGAGAACAATCGAGTCATTCGAAGATTGCAATTGCTGTAATTATATCATGCCCTCAGCTAACTTGTTAGTTCAGATCTGAATTTAAGTATAAATTGAAACCCTAGGCCAAACGTCGAATTTTTCATGAGAACTTTTTATGGGTCATTGACTTAAGTTCATGAAAAGTTCAACGTCTGCTCAGTTAAGTTCGTCTGAATGAGTTTGGATGGTCCAACACGTAAGCAGACGGATAGAACGTCGACGCGTCCTAAGTTCGACGTCTGAGCCAACAGACGATCTTACCTTCATTTAGGTCGACCCAAATTAGAGTTTGGTTCGTCTCATGAAAGTTCGACGTTTGGCCGGAGAATAAGTCATGTTCACCCTGACTTTGCTTAAACTTTAACCAGGACTTGTCCTAAATCTACCCACTGATGCTGGTAGCGATTTAACTACATATCTGCGTTTTCCTTGCGCTTCTCATAAGAGTTTATCTTTGCTAGAAAACACACTGGTCCTTACAATTATTTTTTAGGTGTGTATGCAGCGGCTCAACAGCTGGATATTCCGTGGACCATAATTAAAGGCGTCTCGAACTACGCAGATGGAGGAATGTCTGAACCACGTCCTTGGAAGAATTTCGCGAGTTTAATGGCAGCCTCCTTAACTGTTCATATTCTCAGTAATCCTGTTACTTTCAAAGGCTGGCCTCACTATTAAAGTACAGGTGAGCATTGGATATCGGCTAAGGGACGTTTACTTTTTCCCCATTGAAATACCCTTTTCAATGGGCTAATTAGTCTGCTTCCAATGATCTTAACAGGGATCCTCAAAAGCTTTTTGCCAAAATGTTGAGAATCCTCGGAGATCCGTGCCAAGATCCTCAACTTTCTTTCAAGATCTTCGGAGATATTTGATTATCGTCAAAGATCTTGAAAGATCCTTTTCTGACCTTTCCATGATGATGAATTACGAGCAGATTTATGGTTTAATAATTTCCATTGAATAGCTTAGTACAAGACAATCACATTCCAGAAAAACCATAACTTCAGGAAAATAAATATTAATATGCTCGACTCATTTGAGCGAGAGACAAATTGATATTTTTTCTTTGATCGTGGGCAGAAGTTCTTATTTTTGTTATTTAGGTATCAATGTATTCCGATTGCAGTGGTAAAAATTTAACAGAAGCCCCTCTTGTAGGCTTGGTTACGATATTTTCATCAGGATGCACATAAATTTCTTTACTTCAAACAGAACGTAACTTTCCTCTCTTCGATAACATCGACCGGTATCAATGGAAACTGGGCTGTTGAATGATCATAGAGAGTGGAATGTTGTGGGGGGTGGGCAGGGTTCTATCTAGGATTTATCATTTGGGGGAGAAGTCCTGAGGGGCCGAAGGCAACAAGCCTCCTCGAGGGGTCCGCCCCCCGGTAATTTTTGAAATGAATATGCACTGAGGTGCAATCTGGTGCATTTTGAGACACAATTTTGAGAAATGTTACAGTGTGTTCACTAACCTCGTCGCGTCTTGATGATTTTTTCGACATAGTTACTTATATACTGTTGTAACATCTGTTTATAAAGAAGATAAAGTGAGAAAGGGCCATACGCAAGTGTCTGTCATGCAAATGATAGCTGAGAGCCTTTTGTTCGGTAATATAACGGATATGGAGCGAATTTTCCTTAACTTTTTTTTTTCCTTTACGGATTTGGTTTTGACTCAGATGTCAAAAAAGCATACTTCTATTTAGCATACAACGAACACTTCATTCGATCAAACATTGTGGCAAAGAATGTATTTTCTTTATTCAGCGTCTCTCACGATTCTGTGCTTTCGTTAGAAATTCTGAAGGACGTTTGGGATGGTAAAAATTCATTTTAACCAAATATCTTTCGAGGAGACATTCAACACGATCGTTTGAGCGATTCAGGTGTGATGTTTGGTGGCCTATGTACAGACGCCACCTAAGGGAAGGGGGCGTCGGTATACAGGTTAGATGTCCGGCAGTTTTCACATATTCTCAGTTAACCCCAGTCAGTGATCAATCTTTCTCTTTTTCTGAGATCAGTGAAATCGTGAGCTGATTTATGATTATGCAGAAGAAAATAAGAAACGAAACAGACTGTTTAGAGTCTAAGCTAACTCTAAAAGACCTACTTTGGACCACCATGGATCTAATTTGCTTGGATAATGTCCTTCCTTCTTCAACGTTAAGTTTATGTTAGTCAGTGACTACTAAACATCAAATGCAAAATTCTCCTTATTAGTAAATAAAACAATGATGAATGGTCCAGTTTCGAATTAAAAATTGCCGCTGAATACAAACATTAACGGCACATTTATACAGGGTTAGCCTCGACGTAAAGTAAAATATTCCGAAATTCCGGCAAGTAAGTGTTTGAAATTTGAATATACACAATAGACAGAGCAATAAAAAGGTCTTTTTCTTGTTGGAATTTGTGAATATATTACTTCAGATGGAGGCTAAGCCTGTAAAAATTGTGTCTTCACTTCTTTAATTCAGCGGTCATAGCAAACTCGAAACTGGACTATTCACACAGACCAGTGTGCAAAATCTGCGAGTTGATTAGAGGACATTACGGGTTAATAAATCAGGGATCGAAACTCGGGCGGCTCTTTCATGAACGATTGTTGGTCATCAGAGAATAGACAATAACTGAAGCAATTTGTGATTAAATCAAAAAAATTAATGATTTAAGTTCGCTCTTTTTTTCAAAGGAATATATCAAAGATGGCGTGATCCAGGACGAAGATGTGGGTGGAACCTTGGCCGGGAAAGATGTTGCTAGGCGACCAGCAGTAATGCAGCCGAGGAAACGTGATCTCAAACGACAACGACGGATTCGTAGAAAACTAGAATAAAGAATGTTTGAAAAATTGAAAGTGGACTCTTGCATAGACTGCTGGCGGTCTTTTTTATTCGGCCAAGTGGATAAGCCTTTACGATCGATACGATACTGGAGAAGGCTAACGAGCACAGAACAATCTTGGGTATCATTCTTTAATGTCATGCCCGCCGTTGACAATCGTTATGTAGCGCTAGCAGCCTATGTTGTGTATGATAACAACTTAAAATGTTTAAAGTGTCTTGGCGTTTGCCAATTGAAAGGATAGTGGTGCAGTGAAGTCTTGATCAAGCTTCGTTGGATCTTGAGTGACCCGTGCCTTTCAAAAACACATGCACAACATAGAAACCCTATTTCTCTCTAAGTCATAAATAAAACTTTATCAACCCCAACCCTTCACGTATAAACGTACTAAGATTCACACGTTCAAATGGTGGATATCACTAGTTAATAGATTTATTCCTTTCAAGTGGTTTTGTTTACGCTAGCATCTGCATGGTTAGGATCGTGCTTTTGCAAAAAATTTAGTTAGTTACACCTCAACAACTTCACCTAAATTTTCTTAACAGTTTTTAATTCTTGCCGGATGCTAACAAACTCACTACAAGAAGTAGCTGACTGTACTCTAAACAGAGTCGCTATACTACGTTACTAGAGCAACTATACAATAGTTCAATTACTAAATACTACCGAGAAATAGATAACCTATTAGGTCGCTACATCAATGATAACTATACTACAAAATAAAGTCAAGATTTACTGTACTCTGTACCAGAGTCGCTATATTTAACAATTTGAGGTAAATAGATGTTTTGGTATATACCATATTAACAATGAAATAGCCTTAAGTAGGTGGCAGTAGAGTTCAAAGAAACCACGACACTTCGGTTATCGGAACGGCAACAAGATTACTTTCCAACTTTAAACCGGAGAACAATCAAGCCAAAAAAACTGAATCGTGAGAAGGAAAAAATATTACACGGATATATCATTATTTATTTATTTATTTATTTATTTATTATCTTTGCATTTACTGACTTGGCAAATACTAACAAATATCATGACTGTTGTTTACTAAAAGAACTATGGCATAGTTGCTATAAATAAATACTTCACTGTATATACGGGAGATACGTTATTGATCATACTGTATACTAGAGAAACTATATCTCAATATAAACCTATTTAACAGAGAATCTACATTAAAAAGTTACCATACTATTTATATGCTGTGTCCGGGAGTCACTAACAAATGTCTTTATCAAGAGTTATTTTACTCTATTTTCTTGATTTGCAACCACGTGGCAAGGCGGCCATGTTCATGGTCAATACAATATAATCTTTATCTCGAACAATTTACTTGAAAGTAGAAATTAGTTCCCAGAGGAGAGAAATGCTTTTGTTTTTGACCACCAACATGGCCGTCGTGAAGTCATGTGCAAACCAGCAATTAGAGGAACCAATAGTTACTCTAGCTACTATTGTCCTGCGTGGCAGGTGTCGAAAGGGGAGGAAAAGGTGGGAAAAGGGATTCCGGGTAGGAGCTGGGATTGGAATTTATCATTAATGAATGAAAACCCAAATAGAAAAAAAAAAAAAAAAAAAAGAACACTCGGGAAATAAGCGATAGCTAAAAATAAAAACGTGAACAGGCGAAGGCCGTGAATGCTGCCTGCATAACGCTGACCCTCAGGAGAGCGTTCTGATTGGCTACCCTAGACCGCTCGGGATTTCCCGCGTTGGTCCCGCAGGAAAAAGTTCTATTTTTGCCCTTTTAATAAACCCTCCATTGACCAAGTTCGGTCAAGATGGCCAGTTATTGGCCCAGTTGGCCTCGTGCAAAAACGGGGTTAGACAATATCGAGCTATCTTGACCCCACGCTTATACTGAAAAAAACAACATTCATTCAAATCATCCCCGAAGACAACAATTTGGGAGAATTGAGGTTGGAGTTGAATTCAAAAACAGTGCGAATCTCTGGAAAATCCCTAACTTCGTCATCTGAAATGATTAGTCTCCAGTTACCCAAACAGATGGTGTCGGCTCTGTGACTCAAATATGTAATCGCTTCCGGTCAAAACATAGCCTGTGCCAGGCTCTCAGATAGTATAGTGGGGACGTATTAAAACGAGCAAAACGAAAATAAGACGCGCGCGACTTGGGAAAGGGGGCGTCGCGGCCCCAGCCGTAAACGCCACCTTTTTACTGCACGACTTTTCACCACTATCTTGGAGCCTGGAACAGGCTAGCCAAAACAGTGCGTTCTGCCAAAGATGCGTCAAAGGTCTGCAGGGCCCGTTTCTCGAAAGTGACGGTAAGTTTTTGGGCCCGGAAAGACGTTTTATATTTCCGTGTTTACATTTAATCAAATCAACGTTTTAGTAGTTTTTAAAAATTGTACAATGAAACTATCAGTTACCAATTGACTGGTTTGTGAGCCAGAAACACAGTTTTAGCAGGTTTGACCTTTTTAGCCTTGCCTTCGTGAAAAGAAGTTACCGGGACTTTCGAGAAATAGCCAGCGAACACAGACGTTTTTCCGGTCGTCGCATGCATCCCGGAAATAGGTTCCTGCAGAAACTTGAAAGAGTCAGGGGGACCATTCTAAGTTTAATCATTTAATTTAGTCGGGAAATATAAGTGCAAGATTAGCTTTTTTTGAGGAGCTAAATTTGTACGTCAAGGTACTACGGTAATACGGACGTGAAAAGAGGCTGGTAAATCGAACTTAGGTAATTAAAATAAATTTTAAGGTTTATCGTTGTAGCCAGAGGTAAAAAAAAGTCCTAACTCTTTGCGGGCGACAAGAGGAGCCCGCAGACCATTCTCGGTCAGTGGTACTTTTTTAACTGTATTGCGCTTGTCATCCGAAAGTTTTAAGAGGCTTTAAACTCCAGTGGTAATTTACTGCGCTTTTCACAAACATGCGGATTCTGAAGTTCAAAAGCTAACTGACGATTGCGTTTTCCGCTGCCGTCAATGATCTCAACGAACCTCTAAGGAAACAAAACTTTACTTTACCGGGTTCAAAAGGTCATGGCCTGAGATTTGTGATTGGTGGATTTCGATCCGTTTTTTGTGTTTCTGTGTTTCAACGTTCGTTGCTTGTGATCATAATTATGATTGACGGCAGCAAAAAACGCAATTGTGAAGGCGGCTTTTGAACTTTAGAGTTCGCATGTTTGTGAAAAGCGCAGTAAGTTGTTTCATTATTTTCTATTGCATATCAACGGCCTTTGGTCATGGCACACGGATTGAATATTCGATTGAATAGTAAGACTTCGTGCAGTCGTGAAGTATACTCGCATTACTGTTTCATTGTATCTTTGCCTGCAATTACAGCCGTCTCTCGTCGCTCCTCACCATTCGCAGGCTAATTGTATCTAAGCAACTGTGAGTAAAATCGTTGAATTAAATTTGAGTCTTGTTTTAATACTACGTTGTTCAATCCAGTTTTCATGATCCGCCGCGATTCCTTTGGTAGACACTGGAACTAAAAGGGATTTCTCTGATTCACGTACATGTACGCAATTATGAAAGTGGTTTTCGTCAATCACATCTCTTAAGGTGAACTATGTTCGTCGGCACTTCCTAACCAACGGTTACTGCTAGTATATAGTCATTTTCTTACTCGTTATTGCTTGTTCGTCTTGCATTTCTTACTCAGTCTTCTAATGCCATTTAGGCTAGATTGTCTTGGAGGACGAAGAAGATGAAAGTGCGAAAATCTTCAGGCAGCCAAAGGTACATTTCGAAAATTGTGGATACAAAGAGCAGCGAAAGAAGCACAAGCCCTTTACCAGAAAGCAATTTGCATTGACAATGAAAGTGGCAACAAGGCGAAGCATGCAATAGCCTACGCGGAAACCTAGGGCTTGTGTTTAAACGTTGTGGTGAATATACCAAAGCTGAAAAATGTTATCATGATGCACTTAAGATCAACTGGCAATAAACTAAACGAAGCAAAGGATTACGCAAACTAGGAGCTACGTATCATTCTGTACTGAGTAAATATGCCGAGACTCATGTAAAATTGTATTGTAAAATTGTAAATTGTAATTTGTTTACCCACGGATCACTAAGGAGTTCATAAGCACTCGTTGAAACGTGTCCGTGCGTTCCAGATCGAATTGGAATTTAAAAGTGTTGGTTTTTAAGGAGAGGGGAAAACCGGAGTACCCGTAGAAAAACCTCTCGGAGCAAGGGAGAGAACCAACAACAAATTCAACCCATATATGGCGTCAACGCCAGGATTCGAACCCGGGCCACATTGGTGGGAGGCGAGCGCTCTCACCACTGCGCCACCCTTGCTCCCCTAACAATGTCTTCTTGAAGCACTTGAAATCAGTCAAGAAATTGGTGACAAATCAAGTAAAGCAATAAGTTACCTAAAAGTAGGAACTGTTTTAGAGTCTGTTGGTCAACTTGTTAAAGCTAAAGAGCGTTATAAGAAATCACTTGAGATCAACAAGGAAATCGATAACAAACGAGGAGTGGCAGCGAGTTGCGCCAACTTAAGACGCGTTTTGACGTCTGTCGGTGAATATTCTAAGGCTGAAGAATATCTTCTTGAATCACTAGAAGTCAAACAAGCAAATGAGTTGCATACACAGAGAAGCGGCATGCTACCACAACCTTGCAAAATTGTTTCAATCGGTCGGAGATTATTATACCAGGGCTAAAAAGAATTTTAATAAAGTAATTGTGATTCGAAAGGAAATTGGTGATAAAAAACGAGAAGCGTCATTCTATGGACACCTCGGGGATGTGTTTGCAAGCGTCAGTGAATGCGCCCGAAAGCTGAACAATTGTTTCAAAAAGCAATTGACATCAGAAAGGAAACTTGAGACGAAGACGGAGAAGCAACAGATCTAGATAGGGCAAACCTGGGAACTTTCTTCCTGTGTGTCGGTCAAAAAGCTAAGGCTGAAAAATGCTATCATGAGGCACTTACGATCTTTGGGAAAATTGGTAGAAAACTAAGAGTAGCAGATTGTTACCTAAACCTGGGACAA